GGTTCTGGGGTTTTTCCAGTTGAAAATGATCAATGGCTATATGAGTAAGTCATGTCTCAGGAGGTTTCACTTGCTGGCTCCACGGAAGCTAGGCTTATCCCGTGAAAAGGTCAGTGTGCTGCATAAGTCAGTAAACCAAACTATGTCAAGCTGGGGAAGCACTTGGGGACCAGGCAGAGTGTATGTATACACAAGATCTACTTCCCACCTTGTGCTTTGCCAGTTTTCTGGGAAAGTAATTTCACCACCATCCTGCGTGTGTGTGTGTGTGTGTACGTATTCATTCTATCAAAATATTCCAATATCTACTACATTTGTCTCATTACATCATGCTAGAGTTTTAACCATTACTCCCAGTGACAAGTCAATGTTCCTTATTGTTTGACCATCTGGAGCAAAGCCCTATGCTTTAGGAACAGCATTTGTCTGGTGACATTAAGAAAATGCCATCCATTCGACAGGGTTAGGGTTAGGGTTAGGGTTAGGGTTAGGGTTAGGGTTAGGGTTAGGGTTAGGGTCAAGCTTGTGCATGACCTTGATGTGTTAAAAGTCAGGTGTACAAGCTTTCATTACATAATGGTGGAATTCAGCAAAACTTTCAGGTTAACCCTACCCATGTTTATTCAGAACTAACTATTACCCTCTTCCACGTATATATCCTTTGAGTTGCAGGCTATGTGCTTTAGCCTGGGAGAAAGCCGCATAAAAAGCTTATTTGTTAAAATATGGATAGGATCAAATTGTATGTATCTTTAGACATAGGCTAGGAATATCCCACTAAAATGCTCACTTCTTGGCAGTAGCCAGGTGCTGAGCAATTTAATTTGACTAAGCTTAGGCCTTCATAGTATGCCTGTTGTGATAAACAATTGTTGCAGTCATGCGATACATTCAAAAGGCTGATGTTGTAGAAACTCTTTCAAAATATTGTGGGCAAAATGTATTTTGTAGGCACTCTCACAAAAAAATTACAGTGAAGGTGCTTCAGAGGCATCTGCAGGAAGATTTTTTTTTAAAAAAAAAAGATGGTTGTGGTTGCACAATTGAAGCCCCACCCCTTTTTTATGTATGTTGCAGAGGACTACTATAAAAACAGATATGGGTTTCAACTGCACAGCTAAAGCTACCATCTTGCTTCTTTGACCTCCCCTGGACACTGCAGACATCTCTGAGGAGTTTGCTTGCTCACACAATGACTACTATCTTGCGTGTGACCAATCACAAAATAACCTACCCCAAAGAAGCTTTTTCATTTTTCCCTGCGCTGGGAGAGTATATATCAAAATAGAGCATTGGGCTGTAGCTACTTGACATTTCAATGTTCTATGAATGCTTATGGAGGCATTGAGAAGCCCAGAGGTTGGTGCTTCACCTTTCCATCTGTCTATTTTCTTTAATTAAAGGAATCACTTAAAAAGAATAAAAATCAGATTGGACAAGGAGCTTTACAGGCACCAAAGACATTTTCCTCTGGCAGATGTATGCTTCCCGTCTCCATTCTCTATTCTTGTGCCTCCTGGAACTAAGGATGTACCTATAAAATTCCTGTGTCATGTAGAAAGTTATGCACAGAGTTTAGACTTAAGGCTCCTCCACACAGCTTCATTGCCCCAGCTCAAGGACACCCACTTACTGTTCATTGAAGACATATCCTCATAGCAGAGCCTCCATCTCATTGTCAAGGCCAGCTGAAGCTCCAGCTTGAGAGGAGTGTTTTCCCTGAAAAAACAGAAGAAAACCTCCTATGCAAACTTTCTAGTGTACATGGAGGGGGAGCCTCCGAAGGTCAGCAATGTGCTGAGCTCCAATTGGCCCAATGCCCAGGAGCCCATTCATCCAGCTAGAGGATTCTGCACCTCTATAGGCAGTTTTGCTATGGTGTCAGAAGGACCCAGCACCTCACCATTGTTGCCTGTTTCTTCTTTTTCTTTGGTTCACTCATGGGAATACAGACCTCATGGAAGACAAGACTGCACATGTACCAGGAAGTTAATATTTCCATTAACTGAATGGCTCTGCTGGACTCAAGTGAATTTCTGTCTCCACTAAGCATGTCTCTCAGAGTCTTGTAATTTGCTGGTTCTCACAAGTGTGCAGCAGGCAGGCAGGCAAGCAGGAAGGAAGGAAAACCCAGGCAGGGGAGGATGGCTAGAAAAGAGGAAGACCTTGATTCCACCAAAATTCTCATCCTTGGTTGCACCAGAGTCCAGACTAAGAAAAGTTAAGCCTCCCACCCTCACCTGCCTGCCAGCTCATCCTGAGTATAAAGAGGGAGCAGAGTAACCCATTGCTATAGGCTAACAACTCTTGGGCCACAAAATGACCAGCTGCTCCCTACCTGTTGAGAATAGCATTTAGTTATTCATGCCTGGCTGAGGCCCTGAGAGGAAGAATTAGCTGCCTGGTGCACAAGAGGAAGAAAAGAAGGGAGAGGGGAAAATGCTGAGGCTTTCTTGTTTCATCAAGGACGTTTGATTGGGAAAGATAAGTAGAAAGTCCCTTTGAGACACTACAGTCCCTTCTTTCTTCTCCTTGCATCCTATGGTTATATGTTCTTTTTCCTCTGTTGTTTTTCATTTGGCAGCAGAGCCACCTGGTTTAGAGCTGGTCTGATGGTGGCGGTGGGGTTCGTCACACTCATAGTTGCTGTTTGAAGAACAAATCACTGCCTAGAAAGTAATCCACATTGTTTGCTGTCAGGACAGCCATACTGCCAGCTTTGTTCCTGAGGTGTGGTAAAAGGTAGGCCATGGGGCCAGCTGTATTTGAAATGACTTACTTTTGTTCCATCTGAAGGACAGAAGGAAGGAATTCACCATAGCTGCGTGGATGAGCCCTGCATGGACAGGAAATGCTCCTACAATACAGAGTCATTCACCACCTAAAATGCCCATGAGAAGAGTGTTGGAGGAGGCAAATGCTAACATTCCCATCCATGCTCTTATGTCAAGTGTAACAGTTTCTGCATTTGTGTGAAATGAGATCTGATTCCATCCAAACTGAAGAAGGGATATTCAAAGAGGGCATAATTTGATTCAAGTGGCCTCCAAATTTGAGTTTCAGTTCAAATGAAAAATTGAAGAATTATACTGTAACTATTTTGTTATTGCTGTTGTTATTGAATATGAAACTTTATTATAAGCATATGGTCACTTTACAGTTGTTATCATAGTTGTTGTTATTGTTGTTGTTGTTATTATTATTATTTAGAATGGGACAAACGTAACAGGATCATTAACCCTGCCAAGTTTCAGAGGGGTACTTTTGTGTGTAATCGCAGTATATTCCTGAAACATCCCCCTGCGCCTCCCTCCCTTCAGGCAGAGATAGCCAGGATGAGGAAAGGAATCTCTGAATTGCCCAGCAAAGAGCCTAAGCCATTCTGGATGAAGCAATGTAGGAAGTGTCCTCCTCCATCTTAAACATGTTCAAAAATTTAAAAATAAGTTCTTCATTGTTGCTCTTTCGAGGTAGTGAGCCATGATACTGAAGACACTTGCTGAGTTGGCCTTGTGCAGTGCTGTAACCTGGCGGTCTCTGGTCACTGTTTTTGTGTGGGTTGCCAGGACCATTGTCAGAGCTACACCCCCAAGGAAGAACTCTTTCATCATTGGCTGTGGTCAGGAGTAAGACTGGATAAGTTGTATTATCAAAGTTTGGCCACTATTGGGCAAGATTCAGTGTTAGTTAGCAGAGGGAGAAAAAGGAGACTGCCACAGGGAGCTCCAGTGCAGGCTGCAAAGAAAGAAAGTGGCAGAGAAAAAGTAGCATCTCCAGCCCTGCCACCCCCATTCTTAAAAACAGTTAATGTTTGGTCCAGTGCTATGAATGGCACCCATTCACTCGTTGCTGAGACACTTAAATTTGCCTCAATCATACAGAATAATAATAATTAAAAAATAATAATAAAGACTGCAGACTAGACTGGCCAGCCATGAGCTCAGATTCAGTGTGAGTTGAATTCTCAGCTGAGTTGGCAAGACTAACCCAAAGGGAGATGTTTCATTAACACAAGAGAAAACAAAGTTCAGCCTTGTGCTGGGCATAGTAAAGAAGTTGAGAGAATAATAATATCTAAAACAATGTTAGTCTGGCTCCCCAGAGGAGCTCTGACAGGCAAAAAGCTTAAGGAGGGGATAAAACGTATTGGCCAGCTAACTCGTGTCAATGTCAGAGAACATATCATACTATTCAACCCCTTTCGGGGTTCTCCCTATCTGGAAATGACATTGCAACATAACATACTGTTTATAACAACTCCCAGAAGCAACAGAAAAGCTCTAACATCTGCAAAACATTTCATAATGCTCTCAGGTGCTTTTCAGCCAGTGAATTATTTGTTGTATTGAAGTAGGTCTCCACTTGAATGTGCAAATCTGCCTCGCTGGGGTGTTTCAGCTACTGGATAGTCCTGTTCATGTGTCTGAAACTCTGAATCATTAAAGAACAGAAAGCTGAGTGTAGGAGTAAAAGGTCCATTCTTGCAACATACAGAGTGGGACTGGACCTTTTCAATTGTTCATTCAAGGAAATACATTGATTGGAGATTGAGAACTGGTAAGAAGAAGTACTTATTGGCCCAGTACACATGATGGGATTTGTTGATACAAAATGTAGTAATGGCTACTGAATTGGAGAGCTACTGAATTGGAGAGGCACTAGAACCAATAGCTGTGAGCAGTGATGTTAGCCATTGTCCAGTGCCATAATCGGAATATCAGCTAAAGTGGGAACAAGAGAAGAAGAGTGCTGCTTTAAGCTTCTCAGAGGCATATTGTTGGCCACTGTGGGAAGAGAATATCAGTCTAGGCTGATGGTTGGTCTGATCAAGTATAGTTCTTCTTCCGCTCTTATTTTCATATCAGATACAACAATCAATAACAATCAACCAGGCTATCTTATTGTGCCAGAATAACTCCAAAAGTTTTAATGGCTAATGACTACCAAGTGGAAGATTCTTTCCACTGCTCGCTATTCCTTGTATCCAATATTTGCCATTGTTGTCAGGGTTATAATTAGCTATACATGAAAGAAATGGTTTGGGCTCTGCCACTTGACCATTAGATTACTGCTGCATTGAATTGAACCAAAGGTATTTGCAGCAATAATAAGTTTTTATTGTCTGCATATTTCACTGGTTACATTCGTTTTGGAAAAAAGCCAAGTGTCTCCAATCCTACTTTTTAATCTACTAGCAATGCTTTCATCAGTCAACATACAGTATCTCAGGGCAAATGCAGAGTAATTCTTGGATAATGGTTTTAGAACTTTTCTAAAGTTCTAAACTTTAGAAACAATTCAAGGGGTAAAGTTTGCTTTTCATAATTGTGCCTTACATTGAATGTTCAGTCAAACAGTTCTGTCATTTCATTTCAGGGAAAAGATCCAGGCTAATACAAAGTACCTGGCTTTAGTTTATTTCCTTGATTATGAAAATATTCCACAATTTGAATAATAAGGTAACCTCCTACTAAAAATCCATCCAAAGTTGTGCCCTTGTATTTGAGTAGATGATCTTTCTAACATGTTTTTTTTTAATGAGCAAAACCATTTTTCACTAAATGCATTTGTACACTGTATTCAAGTATGTACAGAGGAGAAGATATTGTCTGTCTGTGCAATTAGTCTAATTATGCAATGTAAGGAAATAAACAAAAAAGTGAATATTTCGGTCATTATATCACTAGGCTTTTGCCTTAGTAAGTCTTTCAAGATCTCTCTGGAACTGTGTTTTAAGAAAAAATATTTGTTATGACCTGTGGTCAAAACAATAAATAAATTGATTGATTGGTTTAGGAAAAAATTAGCAGCAACTAGGCGTGAAAAACTTGTTTGAGAAATGTTGCAAGTCATATCAACAATTGGTCAACATTCAGAGGAATTCCTACCAGGGATTTGTCACTGAAGAATCCTTCTTATTCATCTTAAATATCTTTTATGCAAAATTTGGTGACAACTCTGATGTTTCTAGTGATTTGCAGTCCTTAATGTATTGAAAACATTGAATGTTCTCTCACTGGTAACTCTTTAACTTCCTTAATTAATGGCTGAACGTGGTAGTCAAGTGTTAAAGGGATAAATAACCAGCACTGACTGATTTTCTATATCAAGTATAAGAAGCAACTTGATGTATTTTGCTCCTCTGCATTACTTGTCTTTCCTGAAACTGCAGGCGTCAAGGTAACAGACTTACAGCATCAGAAGACACAGAATTTGTACGAGTTAAACAAGCATACATATGTACAGTCAGATCACTCTAAAGTTATTATTTACAGTGTAAACATCCACTTTTATTATATAAGAAACAAAAAATATCACCAATTTCACTCCACAAGATATTTGTTTTGATTTAAATAATGAAATCATCTCTTTGAAATACTATGAGAAACTCAAAAAATAGCTTGATCTTTTTTTAGGATTTTTTTTTTTTGCAGGATTTTTTTTAATGAGTTGTCTTCAGAGGTTCTGGAGAGAGAGAAAGGAAGAAAGCAAAAAGAACATGAGTTTCAGAGGCCTTAATGAGCAGTGACAACATCTCTTAAAAATTTGGTCTCACTAATGAGTGGGATACTAGCTTTTCAGAGTTTTTATATATTGCCAGAAATGGCAAGAAATATCCATCAGTTGATTTACAACACTGCAACGTCTCCCCTAGCATAGGGATGGGTGCAAAGTCATAATGCTGGGCCACCTGAGTCCTTCCATCTCTTTTGGTGACAGTTCCCCCACCCCCACCCCCAATCACCCTCCTGAACAAACTGAATGGCTACACCATGATTTTCTGCTGGGTTCTATTTTTCTCAGAATAAGAAGTAAAAAATACATGATGCCAGTATGAAGCTTAATTCAGTTATTTCACTTTAAAAAAAATAAGTATACCCATCAAGTTAAGGAAAGGGGATGAAAATTCCAACCCCACCTCTGTGATGATGCAATTGCATTACTGTCATATTGCCTGTCGCCCTCAGCCGCAAGGAAAAATAGTGATTAGAAAAAGTACAGCTCCTGGCAACGGAAGACTCAGATACTCTTGTTCTGAAAGAACCCCTAATTCTCTCAAGCAGGTTTGCAGGGATGTGATGGGCTGCAAGGATAGGAGGGGATCGGCAACCTGTGCCACCTCTCCTGCTTAGCTAGTGGAAATTGTGTGCTGGATTAGTTCCATTTTTGGATTACTTCAAGAGGAAAATGACATTTAAAATGAACTATCTAAGTAAATAAAACCTTTTCTTGATACAGTTTTTCTATAGGTGAAAGGATTTCTTAAGTCAACTTTTTGAGTCAGGCTTTCTTAATAAATGTTACCAAAGGCCCATACTTCTGTTGGTATGCAACTGTTCCATTAGAATGACAGTTTTTATCCTCTAGGCAGAAGGATGAAACAGCAGTAGCAATAAAAATAATAATATTGCATATTGCCTGTGCTATAGAAATTCAGTGAGAAATAAAGTGATCATCTTAGATTTTCTGCAATCCAGCCAATAGAGCAATTAAACAAAAGTAAATAAACTGTCTTAAAATTGTGCAGATCTCATTATAAAGAGATCTGTGACCAATTGGGAGATCCTACTTTATATATGATTGCCCCAGGTTTGCACACAAGTCTCTTATGGTGCTGATGGCCTCAATATGGGAATACAGGCATTACACTTCTAAGTGTGATCTCAGTCTTGTCAGAAATAGGCTTGCAAGTGGAATACCACCTTAATTCAGGGATATGGACTTAGCACCTTCCATATGTATAGCTCAGCTACCTAGCCATTTATCATGCTAATTGGGTTGATGGAAGCCAAGGTCCAAAACACCTGAAGCCATTGTAGGAATCATCGTATCTGTAACTGAAATAAAAGAAGAACCAGGGTTTGGACAAAGTCCTGGGAAAGCAGCCTCCAGAAGAAGCTACTCTGTTTTTCAGGCAAAAGACGGAAGACTCAATTCATCCTTCCCTTCATTTATAGGGCCCAAAGTTGCTCATCTTCATCTCTTCTAGGACCTTTTAGAATTCTGAACATGGATAGTTCTCACAGGACCTTTAGTAGAAGGTAGTTGTAAGAAGGTATAAACTAAATAAGTTCTTGAAAGATTTTGCTCTGACATCTGCACTCTTTCTTACATTACTATCTTTAAATATAAAAGTACTAATTGCCTGTGTTTTGTTTATTGTTTGCCCCATTCATATAACATTGTTCTGACTTGTTGATCCTCTAGGTTGACTTTCATGTCAGCTGCTCAAAGACTAGCCTCTCTTTTGGAACAGGAAGTAAATATAGAGGATTATTTTATTATAAAGGATGTTTATTTTCTGTAATATTAAAATATTAAAACTGGAAGTTGGGGGATTCATATCAGCTGAAAGAAGTGCTGCTCACAGAGTATATAGTTACATTCTGAAATTTACTACAAAGAATGGTCATGATGGTCACCACCAGAAAGCTTTAAAAGGAGATTAAACAAATTCATGGATGATAAGATTATTAATGGCCACTAATCACAATTGCCATATATTGCCTCCAGTATCAGATACAATATGTCTGTTCAACACCAGAAACAGGAATGGAAAAAATCATGCTCAGTAGCAGCTCTTGTAACTTAGGGAGCCATTAAATTGATCACCATGGGAACAGTATGCTGGGTTAGATAGGGCTTAAGCCTGACCCACCATGCTGCTTTTTATGTTCCAATGCTACATATATAATCCAGTTCAGCGTTTTACAAGTAGGATTTTATTTCCCCATTTGTCAAGACATGCCTTTTCCCTATTCTAGCAACCTCCATGTGTGCTCAGATGGGATAACTGAATATTATATCAAGGGGAGGGGGCAAATCAAAGGGTACAGAGCATGTTTAGGGCTAAATTAGTCAATGTAGCATCCTGAGAGAAGGGATGTCTGGCTAGCTGGTATCTGAAATAGGAACGTGCTTGTTAAGATACCGAGTAGCCAATATTTTGAACTAAGTTGTATTTCCCTTTGTCTGTCATGACAGTCCATATATACAAACCTTCTCCAGATATGTCAATGCCATTGTCATATCTGGTTATGTCTCATAAAGTTCCTTCTCTCACCAAATTCCATCTCTAACAAAAGATGTAGGTGAGACTAACTAATCTATCCATTTTTAACTTTACAATCCACTGAAGAGGGTCTTGTATTTTCCTTGATTAATTCCTTTTGACCTGCTTAATGCAGAGCAAATATTGATCTGAAAGTATTGCATTATTTCAATTTCACATGTATGAGAACTCACAATTTGAGAGTGATTGGCAGGCAATCAAACTATGGGGCAAGAATCTGTGAACACAGGTCTGGTATGCCAAGAGCAACTTTGGGGATCTTCAGCCACAGGTTCAATTCAATTAATCAGAAGGATATGAAGGAAAAAGCTATGGATTATTTATCATATATCTATATCTATATCTATATCTATATCTATATCTATATCTATATCTATATCTATATCTATATCTATATCTATATCTATATCTATATCTATCTAGATATAGATATATCATCCATTTCATTAAAGGAAAGTGCTTGTGCAGTTATCTTCAAAGAGATGGTTCCTACCCTAATTAAGGAGGAGGCACACTGAGCTTCATGCTTTAATACACACAGTTTAAGAAAAATCCAAATAAACTGAGTGCATTAACCATATCAAATGGCTAATTTTCATTACCCTATATATATTTAAGCCCTGCAATTATCTTCTTGTATTGTGAAGTTGTATAATTTAAGAGATTTTGAGGGGGGAATAGCCATGTTGTGGGTGTCAAGAATTGAAGGTCAGGTGATTCATGTGATTGGGAACAAATTCCAACTTACCAGTGGGAGGTGGTTCAGAAGCCCCAGGTCATCTACAGTGACATCATCATAGTTTTCTAAGAAGGCTGGTTCAAGCAATTCCACTTCATCTCGAAGGCTGGATGGGTTGAGATCTTCTTGACTAAATGGCAGAGCAACAATGCACATTTGAATCCATAGGAGTGAACTAATCTTAGGGGTTGTCTCTTTTATTGTACTGAACATTATTGGTCTTTAGTGAAAGGATACATCTCCACTAGTTTTGTTATATAAAAGAACATACAGTAGTTCTATGAAAACATGTTTTCTTCAAGACACAATACAAAGCTTTTTATTTAGCAATTATATAACTACCATTTGAGAGTCAGGTCTCCAATTCTTTGCTAAATAATGCCTTTGCATACAGAAAGATGTAAAAAAAATAACAAATAGGAAATGCCTGGGTCATGCTCACCTTTCTTTCAGTACACAATCTGCTGTGCTTTAAAACTATTTTTATTATAATTTGTCCTCAGCAGAAAGCCATTGTTGCTAACTGTTTTTCCATATGTTAAAAAGAAGATTTTGTTAATGGCTTATTACTGCTTGACCCTTTTAAAGCCCAGGTGCTTTTTAAGCATTCGCTCTGCCTACCTTCTTTTCCCAGTTAAAACAGAGTCCAGGTACTTCTTCACTGCCATCTGTTTTCGTAAACGGCTGTAGTTGTCAGTGAAGACAGCATCTGAGTGACGTTTGACTGGCACCTGCTCATCAAGGGGGTTGTTGTTTCTGCAAGGAAAAAGGAAGTTGTGAGAAGCATATTAATGCACAGGCCCCTCAAAGACTAGGCCAGTCAACATTCATAGTTTTATTGCAAAGGTACACCATGTGTTCCTCAGGTAAGATTCTTCTCCTTCTTCTTTTTAGTTGACCTTGAAGTATACAATTTAATAGATAACTTCATTTTCAAACGTAGCATTTAGTTTTGTACTTCCTGAATGCTAAACAAGGTGCAGGATATCATTTTGAGATAAGATTATTTGGCATGGATCCCAATTTCCATTCTATTAACAGAAAAGTTTTTTTAAAAAAAATTATTTCTCCCTTCCCTCTGCATCTTCCTATGGTCCCCCCAGTCCAGTTCTGAGATTCTGACAACTACTATTCATGTAGGAGGCAGTAGAAGGAGGTGTCACCAAAACTGATGGGCCCCCACACAAGGCGTAAAATAATTCTCCTCAAATCTGTTTGCTTTGTCTATATGCCACTGCCACTGATTCTGAGTGTAGCTTACTTATCCTTTTTATGTAAATAAGGTATAACATCTAAACATAAATAATAATATAGTATAAGGCAAATGTCAGGGAAAAAATAAAATTCTGCATTCATTAATGCCCAAATTATAGAGGGAAGAAGCTCAAAACATTCCCACCCTCAAAAATCCAGGTTTGGACAACCTTTCTGAAAGCAGCAAAGTAGGAACTGTCCAGATCTCAGGGGAATGCAAAGCAGGGGCTGTCCAGATCTCAGAGGAATGCTTTCTAGAAAAGGGGACAACAGTTGAAAAGTCCCACCTCTATGGATCCTACAGCTGGCAATCTCTAAGTGAAGGGAGCTGAAGTGAACCCTTTTTACATAGTCTTATTGGATGGGCAGAACCAACTGGGAGAAAGCAATCTCAAAGATATCCAGGTCCTATTCCATGAACGTCTTTAAAGGTGACAACCAGCACCTTGAATTACACCTAGAAGGAAACTGGTAACTGATGCAGCTTTCAAATAGTGGTGTCATGTAGGTCAATTGTGAAGCACCCATCACTACTTGAGCTGTCTCATTGTGGACCATCTGTAGCTTCCAAGTGGTCTTTAAGGGCAACCCCACATATAGTCTATTGCAGTAATCTAGACGTGAGGTAGCTGACTGAGAAAAGGGCCTCCCATTCCAGAAAAGGTCATGGCTGTTGTACTAGATGGAGTTGCATAAAAGCTTTCCTTGCCACATCTTCTACCCCTCCTCATTGCAATAACAAAGATACAGTATAATAATATACTGTAAATGTCTCTTCAGTTATAATTCAGATGTCTAAATTCACTGCTAGGTTCAGTTAAAGCTTTCTTCTTCACCATCACAAACCTCTTTGTCATTAATACAAAATATAACAAGTATACAAATATTCTGGATCATATTAAACATATGGGAGTATTTAAAGGCAGTCTGCATCTGGGAAACAGGAGGTACAACCACTTACCCAATCCTTTTTCCAATCAGGGATTCCAAATACTTTTTCGCAGAAAGTTGACCCAAAAGTTTGCTGTAGCCACTTGTAAAGAGTCCATCAGCATGTCTTGTGTTTCTATAATGGATTTAAAAAGTATGATTGATATCATTAAACTGAAATGAAGATTAACATTTACTGGTAGTATGCACAAAAAAATTGCTATGAATTCATTCCTTGTTGCAAAGTCCTTGTTTCAAATAGGACAAGTAGAACTACAGACCAGAAAGCATCAGTGAGTTTATCAACATTACTCCACAAAGCCGTTTTTTTAGTGTTTATTAGATTTCAGAAGTCTTACCTGTCAATAGCTCTGGACATATCAAAATAGAACTTCTCATTTTCAGGTACGGTAGTTTGAAGAATGTCAGCCTCGGGTTTTAACGAACTTTGGACGTGATCCGATTCACTTGCTCCATCAAATGGCATTCTGTTTCCTAGTCTGAGAAAGGTTGGAGGAGGGGGGAATAAGATGATAGACACTTTTGAGATCATTCTCACATGCAGGATTAACAGCCAGGATTTCAAAGATATTTTAAAATCATATACTCCATTGCCTAAAAGCAGAAGGAAACGATGCTGTGCTAACAAGAATATACCAAACAGAACTGAAACAATGTGAGATTTTTAACTCAGTCCTATAGATTGGTTACTTAAATATGGACAATGTCACTGCTATGTGAAGAAAGAATGCCTATGTCTGACTATAAATATTTGTGAACCGCAGTCCCTATTGTATCCTTTCATTATATATAATAAACTTCAAACAGGATGATTGTCAAAATATTAAACTACAATTTAGAAGCCAAGCTAAGGTCAAAACATACAGCACAAAAGTCTCCTTGTATAAAGAATCTTCACAAGACTTCAGCATGTTAGTCTATACACAAAGATCCCAGGTTTTCCATTGGATCCACAACAGAAAATATAAGCAGAAGTTCAACAATTTACTACTCGTAATACTGCTTTCCTCTTCCATCCTTCTTAGGCAGACTTGGAATTCATGTCTTAGCCACCAATGACTTCATATGCAATTTGCATTTTAATGCCAATTTTCTTTGCAACTTTGGGGAACCTTGATTTATTGCTAAAATTATTCATTATAGGGCTCATCAGGGTTGTTTTGATACTTTAAGATGGTTGAATATAGTACCAATATCAACTATGTATTTGCAAAAGATACGATGTGTTCTATTAAATATAACATTTGCCCTAAAAGAGGTAGCTATGTGACTGTATGCTCTCCTAGCAGTTTCACAACCAGCAAAAGCAATGGCTACTGCAACAAAGTCAGAATGAGTTAGGAAAGTAGTGATCCAGTGTAACAAAGTGTTTTTTGCAGCCTCAATCAACTATGAAAATAGAATGACCCACAGTGAAAAAAAAGCTTTCTACTACCTAGAGCAATTGTATCAGTTGAAATAATCCATAGAAATAATAGCTGGATTTAAACAAACAAACAAACTTTGAGCACACTAGTTATTAAACCCTATAATCACACTAAACACACTAGTCAATTCAGGATGAAATGTGCATATTGTTGCAAAAAGAATAAACAAAGGACAGGAAGATGATTGCTGGAGATTGTACTGAACTGTTGTTCCCACAGTGACAAGTGGGAAAATGGGAAAAAGATACAAAATGACCTTGGAAATGTAGCTTTAACACTTTACATCTATTTATTTTTAATATACTGCTGTAAAAACTGAAGCACCAGGTTTGGGACAGATAGCACTGGAGAAAATCTACATGGTCACTAAGAGTTGATGGTGTGTCATCCATCTGTTTTTAATACACGGCCTAGCAACTGATTAGGTGATACAAGCAGAGGCAGATCTCTCTTCCTCATCCTCCACCTTGCTGAAAAGGAGAGACCAAGAGAAGGTTGGCAATAGGGAGGAAGGTAAAATAATAGGGCTTGGAAGGCCCACACTGGGTGAATGAGAAGGAACTAGAAGCTAATGGGTGGACTGGTGAGAAGGATGCCAGTGATCCTACATGCAAACAATTGGTTTTTCCAAACTTACTCAGAAAGTTCCTTGGCTGCCTTAGAGTGAGGTAGCTGTTGATTAGCATTATGTTAGGGAAGCGTGAACTGTTTTAAAGTCTTCCAAATGTTTGCTTCTCTGCTTTTGTAACTAATTCAGTTATGAATTCTTCAGTCTCATTACAATGTGTATATTATTTTCTGTAATATTTGGGCAACCAAAGACCTTTGTTCTACCAACAATTTAATGTGTTTTTTGCAATTAAAGTGTTGTACTAATTTGTCAGTTGAGATTATGATTAGGAAAATGTCCATTTCAAGCTTAGGCTCAGAGAAATTGGCAAATGCTTCTCTTTTTTTCACAGAATGAATGTCATGACATTTAGTTGTTAACTACAACCCATGTTTACAAGATGCTATTGCTTTGCTTGAGTGTTTTCTCCAAAGCAGGGAACTTCTTAAAAGGGCTTATTTCTTTCCATTTTTCCCTAGTTATTAAATATGCAGTTCTGTGATCATTAGGAGAACATTCTTGGAGCTACAGAATGCAGATCGTCCCCTCTGTAGAGGAACCCTTCTTTTGATGGCTGCAAAGCCTTGTTATGTTATGTTGTTATTGTTAATCCTACAATAGAAAGGGCAAAGGGGTTGATTTCTGGAGCCATATTAAATCAGGAATTCTTTGCAGATTCAAAGCATCCTTAATTCTTTGGTGTGTATTTCTTAAGGATGGATGGATGGATGGATGGATGGATGGATGGATGGATGGATGGATAGATAATCTAATAATCCTAATTACTTCCTTCATCACTTTTCCCAGAATTAATCAAAAACAAAACACAAAATTCAAATTTCAGAATTGGTTTATCTTTTCTGTATCAAAAAAAAAATCCTGGAAGAGGAAAAAAAGATGTATTTCTTTTGAAGACCATTGCAGCATTGCAAAATTACTTCGCTCTCATATAATGCTCTCACATAATATCTTATGCCTGCCTCTCCACGCTTCTGATAAAGTAGTAATATAATATAGATCATATCCCATATATGAAATAATTGGCTAGAAAATGTAAATTTCTTAATCTTTTATAATTTTCATGCGTTACTTTTGGTGAAATTGCATATTGTAAGAAATATGAAATAATTATTTGATCACTTTTTACATATCTCCTGCATTTCAGTTAATCTGGGCATTTCATTGAATGGGATTCTACTTTGAAAATTCTAATGAGGATCTAATTATGTTGTTCTCAAGCTTTTAGAAAATAAAATGCTCTTCTGAGTTATATTTGGCTGGCATTTATCACTGATGATGGCTCCATGAGTTATGGCAGCTAGATTATTTTTAGTTCTATACCCAGCTTTCTCATGCTCACCACTTTAAAGAATATTGATATAATTAATAAATGTGAGCTAACAATTTGCTTTACCCTGCTTCTGATGTGTTCACTTCTCATAGTTGATTTATATGAATAGGGCTCCAGTCAATTGCTGGGCCATACAAATGAATGTGTAAGTGAGGGACGGGAGGAGTACTTTCAGACTTGCAAAATTGATGTTAGCTTTGCAAGGTAGTCCAAGCAAGAAGCACAACCAGGAATACTAGCTCTACCTTTATTGTAAGGGTATATTAACAGACTCTTGCAAGATGAAAGTGCCTTTCAGAGTACTTTTACTCTCCCAAAAACTAGGGAGGTCCCACCCCTCCTCCTTTGGACTCAAATTTCATTTATCAGACTGTTGTCTAGGCAGCGGTGCTCCCTCCTGTCTGCCAAGGTCATTCCCACATACCATTACATCAAGTCAAGTCTCTCTTCTCAAGTTCAGGTCTTGGTGACTACATGGATAATATATTGTTTTCTGGGCAAAGTAGTGCATCTTCCAGAATGTTTCCCCCCCTTAATTCCAATCTAGTTTACAACACTGGTATTTCCTTTTGGTCTCCCATCCAAGTCTTAACCAGGCCTACCCTGCTTTGCTTTTTGAGCCTGATAAAAAATGCTTTCTGAATATCTCAAATACCATTTTTTAAAATCTCAGAGACATATTGCTTTGAAAATTGACCCAAAAGGGAACATGCATCTGTTCTCCTATGTATTTATTTGTAGATGTATGTCCTTTCATACGAACGGAACCGTGCAAAGCAACCTCAGAATCCAGAGCATCAAACTTATGACAACTATTGGAGTTTCTCATAAACAAATATAATGACTACATTAAGAATTCTCCAAATAATTAAGAACATATTCTTTTTACTCACAAGCTAGTAGCTGCATGATGGCATTACATGCTTACCATTGTATTATATGTGTATTTGCATATATGGAAATCTCTCCCCCCCCCCATTGCCCCCATCCTTGAGTTTAATAATTTAATGACACCCAAACTGATGGGTGGTAAATCCCCCAGTTAGATCTTTGTTGCTGTTGTTGTTGTTTCATACCTACTAAACTAGCTTGTCTTTTCTATTCTACTCCATGTATACAGGTAAAGTCCAATTACAATAGTTCAAAAATACCCAATTCACTTACCTAAAAACTCCAGTCTCTATTTATGAAAGAGTAAAAAGTAGTATAACACTTTTCAGGTCACTTTGGGACAGTGGAAGCAATAACATTTGTCATTAGATTTGGCTATCAATATATTTCTAAGCAGAATTTGTCTTATTTCAGTTGGCAGAATCCAGGTAGTTCTTGAATTTGCAAATCATGCTATCAGTTGTAGGACAGACTGGCTAGAGTTTTCTTACCTCATAGCTGAGTATGATCCTAAAGGAGGCAAGGCAATGGCTTGAGAGCAGAAAACATAGAGGAGTGTAAAGAAGAGGAGAAGATGGGAGCTCCTTCTGTGTTCCATCTCTTTGGACCTGGGCTGGCAAAAATGACAGAAATATAGACTTCATGCTGTCTGTGCCCAATGTTCTGATAAACAAAGATCTTGTCTGAAGTAGGTTTGTGTGGAAAAACAGTGCCATTGATATAAAGTCTGTGCTCATTTACAGCTCAGATTATGAATTAGGAATGTGAACTTGACATTTTCATTCAAATTCTCAGAAGCCAGAAATTTCTTTATAGTGAATATCTGAGATAAAAATTGTTATGCAAGTCTACACTGAAGAATCTGCCAATTTATGCAGAAAAGCTATTACTAGTAATATGAATAACAGTAATAACATATTGAATATCATAGCTATGCTCTGCTACTTCATAAATGCTTACTTTCATGAGTTTAAGCATATGACATGCAGAGAAGTTTTAAATGAATCCTGACATAAAAAAGGAATGGCTGAAGTTGAGGATCAGAGGAGAGAGGGGGGAAATAGAGTGATTGACAGATAAACAGTTTTGCTAATTATATATAATTAAACTGTCAAAATATTAACTTAGATCATCTTGATTTTCAACGTAATTTTATCCTGTTGTTAAAATAGCATCAAAGAACCTGTATTGGCTGCAGTTGCTTTGAAGTTATGACAGAAAATAGAAGCAAACACTATTTGAAACACCAGTAAACTCACTGAAAATTAGTCCAGAACATCCATGTAAAGAGCTCTGAGATTAGAGACAAGAAAGATGGGAAAGAACTTTCATATGGTGATGGTGAACCATTCTCCTGAAAATATTTATCCAAGGTGGACTGTGATCGAATAAAGCTTCTGCTATAAGAAACGTATAAATCTTCAAGCTACCACAAAATTGTCTGTTATTTTTACTGCCACAGACAAACACAGCTTCCCCTCAGGAATATATTCAGATTGTTCTGCAACTGAAACTATGCAAAAGCCCAAGGTTTATTTCATTTTTAAAAAGAGCATTCATTTTATCTGATCAGAAGAATATGGCTAATATAAAAAGTTATATGGAATGCCATTGAAATTTAAGTGAATAATTTTAGAGGAATGGAAGCTAAACTACACATTATTTAAACTACACTTTAAAAATGTGAATGTGCAAAATGATGGAAAAAGTTTTCATAATTGTTTAAAAACCCTTAAATTGCATATAAATATAAAGGAAACAGTTTAAAAGATCAGAAGGAGATGAATAATGAATATTCCCTTTTATTCAGGGGAAAGGGACAGTTCAAAAAGGATAAGAAATAATGAGTATGAAATATGCATTTTTTTTAAACCTTTGGCTAAGAGAAACTTTTGTTATCTGAGAGAGAAATCAGAAAAGTCATCCCAGAAGAGAAATTCATATTTTGAATTCATTTTCAGCTTTCTTACACTTCATTGTGGCAACTGTTTGCATTATTATTAAACCATACCAACTCCACATACATCCAGAAAATCTACAAATGGTTTTGGGAAAAAATATTTCTCTATATTGAAATGAACAAATATCAACTTTTACTTACAAAGCCAGAAGACGGGCTTTGGAGTTCTTCAAAAATACGGCAATGGTGATTTTTGCTCAAGGGATACTTGGAGCTCTCCTAGGTGCTGAATTTCTATTCGGCGCTCCACACGGTTCTTCTTCAGGTACTGAACAGAGTATTCAAAGGAAAGTGTCTGGTCTGCTGGTCTGAAGTTTACCAGCCTGCTTTTCTTCGCGTTTAGTGCAGCCTTTCCAGCTGCCTCATTTGATAGGTTTATATACACAGGACCACTTTTCCACTTCAGAAACAGCTATCGCATTATGCAGGAGACGTCACATTCCCCAGGGGGTGTATGGAAATATCCGTCATGGTTTTGTTAAAGATATTATGAGACAAAGGAAGTTCATATTTAATTCAAGGGAAGCCCCCCCCCCCCCACCAAATATATTTTTTATTTTCCTATTAAAAAAAACAAAAAAAAGAAAAAAAAACA